TCCCTGGAGGTTTTTAAGAAGAGACTGGATGTGGCATCAGTGCCATGGGCTGGGAACCACAGCGGGGTTGGATCAAGGGTTGGACTTGATGATCTCGGAGGTCCCTTCCAACCCAGCTGATTCTGTGATTCTATGACTGTCCCCCTGGTGCTCCACCCGTGCCCTCCTCACCTTGATATTCCAGTTTGAAGCCTGGCTTGTTCTCGGAGTGGTCGCTGTGCAGGTACACGGTGGTTTCGTGGGAGGTGGACAGGAGGGAGCCGGGCAGTTCGGCGCCGCTGAAGCGCCCGATGACGGTGCTGGTGTCGTAGGGCCCGTTCCTGATCTCCACAAAGTCATGGTTTGGCTCGGTGGAGAAGTTCAGGAACTGGATGTGAGCACCTGGAGAGCAGGAAGGAACAGTCTGCACCTAAAGCTCCACCTCCAGCAGCACCCGTGGGGCCCTGGACAGCCCGGGTAGGCAGAGGGACATTCACCATGGGGGGAGCAGAGGGTGGGCACACACTGACAGAGAGCAGGTTCAGATTGGAGATTAGGAAGAAATTCCTCCCTGTGAGGGTGGTGAGGCCCTGGCACAGGTTGCCCAGAGAAGCTGTGGCTGCCCCTGGATCCCTGGAAGTGTCCAAGGCCAGGTTGGAGCAACCTGGGCTAGTGGAAGGTGTCCCTGCCCTGGGACTGGATGGGCTTTAATGCCCCTCCCAACCCAAACCATGCCATGATTCTATGATCTTCCCACCACCTCTTCTGTCTCAAACCCAGCTGTCTCACCAAACCCCACTGGCAGCAATATCCTCCACGTGCAGTCCAGGTTGCTGGGATAATTTCCTGGGAAGCCTGGGCTCAGGAGCACTCCTTCCATCTCTTCTGCTGTTCCTCCACACTGGGCTGTAAAACCAACAGGGTTAATGGTCAGGATCCCTCACAGGTCTGTCTGGAGGATGGTCATGGCCAGCTGTGTGGGAAATGAAGGAATGAAACACTTGAGAAGAGAAAGAGGAAATCCTGCTATGGAACCAACACAAAGCTGGCCAAGCACATTACTAATGCAGGTGTCTTTTTCCTGCCCTCTGCAGATTAAAGCCTGGGCCCAGAGATCCAGTTTTGGCAACCACAGAGGGAGAGCCAGACCTGAACAGCAAGAGAGGAGCCAGACATTGTATCAGTGCATGTCATGCACCAGCACTTGCTTGAATTTTTAACCAACTGAAAAATTACTGTGGAGAAACAGAGTGATCCTAATTTTGACTCCAGTTACAGCCACTTCTTTTCCTTGTTACCTGCTCCACCTGCCAGTCTCTGGGCAATTACCACCAAATATAGAACAGGGTGTTTGCACACCCGCTGCAGTCCATCCCCTCCCAAGGAGAGATCCAGAGATGACAGCCCAAAAATATGTTTACAAAAGGCATCACATGAAATTTAAGCACACAGATAGCATCTTCTCATGCTTATCTGGGTGACCTCTGCCTGGCTACAGCAGCACCATCCAGGTGGATGTTCCCCTAACACGTTCTGACAGCAGGGGACAGACTCTTTGTCCAATATCTCATTACGTGTGTACTTGCTACTAACAAGGTTTCTCCCAGAAGATTTCTCTTTCTTTTTCTTCTTTAATGGCTCTTTAATAGAACTACTTCTGAATTATTTAGAAGTCAAGCATCTGGGCAAAGTAGACCAGGAGAAAATCAGCACACTTTGGCTGGGGAAGAGGGTTGTGCTCTGAGCAGGGGCACAGCCACGGCCAGGGCTCTGGGCAGGGCTCAGACCCATCACTGTGTGATGAACACAGGGCAAAGAGCCCCAGGATGGTCAGCACGGGGTGCTGGGACACCCCAGAGGGGATGAGGGGCACTCAGGATCATAGAATCATAGAATCAGCTGGGTTGGAAGGGACCTCCGAGATCATCAAGTCCAACCCTTGATCCAACCCCGCCGTGGTTCCCAGCCCATGGCACTGATGCCACATCCAGTCTCACCTTAAAAACCTCCAGGGATGGAGAATCCACCACTTCCCTGGGCAGCCCATTCCAATGGCTGAGCACCCTCTCTGCAAAGAAATTCTTCCTAATCTCCAACCTAAACCTCCCCTGGCACAGCTGAAGACTGAGCCCTCTTGTCTTGCTGATGGTTGCCTGGGAAAAGAGATCAACCCCCCCCGGCTCCCCCCTCCTGTCAGGGAGTTGCAGAGAGTGAGGAGGTCTCCCCTGAGCCTCCTCTTCTCCAGGCTGAACAGCCCCAGCTCCCTCAGCCTCTCCTCACAGCACTTGTGCTCCAGTCCCTTCCCCAACTTCGTTGCCCTTCTCTGGCCCTGCTCCAGCCCCTCAATGTCCTTCCTGAGCTGAGGGCCCAGAACTGGACACAGCACTCCAGGGGTGGCCTCACCAGTGCTGAGTCCAGGGCAGGAATCACTTCCTTGGACCTGTTGGCCACACTGTTCCTGAGCCAGGCCAGGATCCATTGGCCTTCTTGGCCACCTGGGCACACTGGCTCCTGTTCAGCTTCCTGTCCATCCTCACTCCCATCTCCCTTCCTGCCTGGCTGCTCTCCAGCCCCTCTGGCCCAGTCTGGAGCTGCCGGGGGTTGTTGTGGTCAAAGTGCAGGACCCGGCCCTTGGCCTGCTTGAACCTCATCCCCTTGGAATCAGCCCATGGATCCAGCCTGTCCAGGTCCCTGGATGACCCACACTCGGCTGCAGAAGTGTTTGTGCCTCTCTGGAGCTGGGTGACCTTTTCCAGCAGAGTGGGAGGCAGCTGAGGGATGGGACCAGATGGGCTGGGGGGGTGTTTGCACCACTACTCGTGGTCCTGGCTGGCACAGAGACCCCCAAACTCAACCAGGCTGGTGTTCACACCCCAGTAGTGCCTCAGAGGCACAGCCCAAGCAGGCAAAAAATCCTGCTGAACTGAGGGACTGGTGCTGATTAAGAGAAGAAAACTTGTGGTTCCTCAGCCAGATGGGAATATTGGGATCCTCCTCCATGCTGGGATCTCCCAGCTCTAGAGCTGAGCCGAAGGGCTTCTGATTTCTTTCAGTGCAGTTCCCAAGGGTGTGGGTCCTTTAGCTCAGTCATTCTCCTGTAAATGTCTCTCTATTTATTCCTGGCCTGCAGATCATCAGATAAAAGAACTGTTAGCTCTTATAATTACTTTAAAGCTAAATGATGTAAGCTAGAACAGCAGGAGCCTGAAATAACTGTTAACTAAAGCTATTAAATGCATAAATGTCTCTCTCAGAGCTGCAAAATGTGCAGCATGAATATTAAACATCTAGATTTGCTAAAAGCAAAAGACTGAAAACAATCAAAAAAGCTCCAGCAAGTTCCCTGCACCTCTGTCCTTCTTCTCTTTGGGATCACTTGTTCCGTCGTGGAACAAGTCCCTGCCTAGCCCTTTTCTCTCCTGAACACTCAGCAGTGTCAGGGGCAAACACCCACCTTGACAAGTGACCTGTGGTCACAAATGGTCCCACAGGACCTGCTGGACTCCAGAGTGGGAACAAGACACCCGAGGTGCAGTTGGGATACTGGGAGATAACAGATTCCATGTGATATCAAGATTCATTTCATAAAAACAGACCACGGTCTTCAGACGGAAGAAAAAATCCCCAACCCGTGAAAACCAACCTGCTTCCAGCACAAAGGAATTTTAGGTTTCCCCCTTTGAATGGTTTTGTGTGTTGAGGAAGATCATTTTGTTATTTCACATCTTCTACTACGGCCACATTTTAAACATTCAAAATAAAGCACTCTGGGCAGCCCCCGGGGGACTTCTGGGTTGCAATTTCCCTGGCAACAAATGAGGATTTTTCCACACTCAGAACAAACCTGAATTTCTCTAAATCAGGCCACTTAACTTGTATTTTTTTGGGGGGAAGTGCTATAAATATGTGTCAGGCAGAGAGAACAGGAGCCCTACCGATGCAGAGCGGCGGAGGGTAATTCCAGCGGCGGACGGTGCCCGGCATGCAGGAAATGTGGGAGTGACCCTGCAGGGGAGGAAAACAAGACACAGGGTTGGATCTCCCACAATTCCAGGTGTTTGTTGGCACCCTTTGGCTGGGCACTGTCCATACCTGCAGGGCGTAGCCCGGCTCGCACTGGAAGGACACGACGTCGTTCACCAAGTAGCGCTCCCCGATCTTCAGGCCATTCCCAGGAACGGGGGGCTCTGGGCAGCTGGACAGACCCACAGCTGTGGAGGGAAGAGGGATGAGTGCTCCTGGGAGCAGGGATGGCATCTGTGCTGGAGGCAGGAGGAATGGGAACACACGTCTCCATTTCACCCCATTCCCCTGTTTGCCAACCGCCACCGGTGGGGGGGGTTTGGATTCTCCCCAAAGTCCCGTGGCCTTTGGATTCTCCATGGACAGCCCTGGCTGTGCAGCATTCCCATGTCACAGGGCACATCCAGGATCCACAGATATTCCCTGGAACACACATTTCTTTTCAGGCAGAATTGTATCACCAATCCCTTGGTGATTCGTGGCCAAACCCATCCCGAGTGAACCAGTGATGGAGGAGCTGGACCTGGGACAACCTGAAACCAAACACCCACCACACCTGGAACTGTGTGTGCCTCTGCCAGCCAGGCAGCACCTGAGAGGGATGGGAGAAGATGCAGGAGATCAGGGGCACACGGAATGTGTTGTCATTTGCCCCTTTCTGGGGTTCCAGTCTCCGACCCTTTCCCTCCCATTTCCCATCACAGTCTGAATTTGCCAGGAGCCACAAGCAGGGCTGGTCCTTGCTGGTGCCTGCAGAACAGCCTACGAGATTTCATTCAATCCCACTTCCATCCCAGCTACATTTACAACTGGGAATATCCTGCTGCAAACCCAATTAACAACCCCTGAGCTCTCCTTTACACGTCTCTCCTTTACACGTCTCTCCTTCCCTCATCTCCCCTTCCCTCCCAAACACCAAAGGGAGATAAAATGAAGCCTGAAGGCACCTCACACCCGCTTCCAGCACCTCCCTCACTCTCTGTGCTGGCAGCTGCCACTACAAGATAACCTTCTGCATCACTGCAAGGGCTGATGCTCTGCTTCAACCCCACCGAGCCACAGCAGAGGGGAAATAAAAGAGAAAGGAGAGAGGGAGAGAGGCTGAGTCTCCTCCTGAAAGCCCAGTCACGCTTCCCAGCAAGGAAACATGTGTTCCCTCCCCGCACATGGATGTACTGCTTGACCTTCAGAGAGGCAGGAGAGAGAAAATGGCTTTAAACAACTTCCCGTTCAGATCAGTGGGCACCGAGTTCCACTCAGCCCTAAATTGTTCTTGCTCTGCTCTGGCTTGTGGAGCATGTGGAGATAAGAGCTTTGCTCCAGCAACCCAGTGAGGGAGAAAAGGGAGAAAAACTCTGGTGTTTTAGCTCATCTCTCCAAACTTCCTTGCAGAGGCAAAACCTGGGGCTGGGGGGGCTCTGAAATTCCGGTCGCGCGAGCAAAGCCAAGAAAACCACGTTATTCCAGCTGCCCTGAAAATCAACACCTACTCATTTCCTCAGCAAAGGAAACGAGCAAGCCTGATAATCCCCCAGCCTGATGAAAAAACCTGCCCAGGATTGTTGCAGTGGGGGAATTCGGTGCTCAGAGAACTTATTGATTGGAAGGGAGATGGAGAGGGAACGAGGGAATGTCTGACCCAACATCCATTTGTGCAGCTCCCAGTCCCCAGCCTTGCTGGTTGCTGTAATCTTGCTGGGTTCAATAATTGACAAAGTTTCAATCTGCAAAGCCTGTAAAAGCTGGAAGGGTCAGTACTTGCTGGCCTCTAAAGCACAGGCTCAGCTGTGACATTCACAGCATCCCAGACTGGTTTGGGTTGGGAGGGACCTTAAAACTCATCCCATTCCACCCCCTGCCACGGGCAGGGACACATTCCACTAGCCCAGCTTGCTCCAACTTGGCTGTAAAGACTTCCAGGGATGGGGCAGGATTCCTGTGGATGCTTTACAAAATGAAATGAGCTTTCAAACCTCTTTGTTGCTTTAGGAAAAAAACAAACAAACAAAAACCCAACAACAAAACAACAACAAAAACCCACCAACAGAACATTGGCTGGTTTCAGAGACAAGATTTGTGCTTCAGAACCAATTACCAGATAAAGTGTCCAGCAAGAGCCAGCTCTGCTTGCATTGCCCCGGGGAAGATTGGGAGCACAGACACAGCAGTGCCCACAGGGCCCTCAGCAGCACCAGGGACAGCAGGGACAGCAGGGACAGCAGGGACAGCAGGGACAGGGGCAGAGCAGCCCCTGGGACCTGCAGGAGCCCCAGCCTGGCTCCCAGCCCTGTCCCACAGGGATCTCTGGCACTGCTCACTCCCTGCCTGCTGAACATCCCCCTGGATGTGCTGGGAGCTGCCCTCCTGCCCTGCCCTCCTGCCCAAACCCTCCCTGGAGACAACCACAGAGCAGCCTGAGCTCCAAGGGACCCACAAAGATCATCCCCCCAACTCCTGGCTCTGCACACCCCAAAAATCCCACCGTGCGCCTGGTGTTGTCCAAACAACATTCCCTGCTGGAACAGGGAATAACAGCCTGAGGTCACAGCCCCCAGCACAGTGACCCTCTGCAGCTTGGCTGGAACACAGAACACACCTTTCCTGAGCAGACATCTGCTCCCATGGCAGGAATCAAAACACACACACGGGGGGGGGAAGGGGAGAAGGAATTTTTTGGCAATCCCACCCAAACCTGACAGCTCATTCCCAAGAGACTCCCTGCCCTGCCACGTCTTCCAGCTTCAGGCAGGTTTGTTCCCATAGCACTGAGGACCTAAAATACAAAATACTGTGCCCTGTTTTGCACCCCCAGCACAGGACAAACATTGCTAAGGTGGTTCAGCAGAGGGCTCAGCACCCACCCTGTGCCCAGAGTGTCTGTGCAGCTCCAGCCCTGCAGCCTGCCCAAGCACAGGCTGCAGGAAGATGGGCAAAGCCAAGTTATTTGGTTTTATCTCCTCTCTGACCCTGCTCTCTGTGGGAGGTGCCATGAGATGACCTCTGAGGGCCCTCCCACCCAGGATTTTCAGGAGAGGACGTGTCCAGCCCTGCATGTTCTTTCCAGCAGTGACCAACACTGAATGCAAAGAGCAGCCAGGCCCTCCCAGCCTCTGGCTTTTCAGGCACCTCCCAGGTAAAGATCACAGCCCTGTGCTGGACACACCAACTCTCCATGAATTTTTAATACTTCTGCCTCCACATCTCCTCCTCCTGTGCTCCAACACAGCAACAAACAGGGCTACCAAGAGCACCAGGGTCAGCCCATGACCCCACATCTCCTCTGCTGCATCTGTTCTCTGTTTAACACCCCCCTCCCTGCAGCTGGAGAGCAGGGGAGCCCCAGCAGCCCCTTCCCCAGCTTGGAGGTGGCAGCAGCAGCTCCGTAATTGTCTCCCCAGCACTCAGAGGAACTGGGAGATCAAGGCTGAGCTGCTCTTACTTTTGTATTCCAGGTGGAAGCCGGCAGCAGAGACACTGATATCCGAGTAGAAATGCAGATAGAGCTGGTTTGAAGTGCTGTTGAGCAGAGCAGGCACTGTAGTCCCTGGGAAAACAAGAGGGGCACAAAGACAGTGAAGAGGATCTTTCTCCTCCTCCTCCGTGTCCTCGGAGATTTGAGGCAGGAGAGGCTGAGAACAGAAAAGTCCTTTAAACTTAACAAGCTCCCCTGGTTTTGATCAGGTTCTAATGAGGCCAAGTGAGGAATACCCAGGGTCCCTCTGCAATGGCCTTTCCAACAGGCAGCTGCTGAATTTTGGCCTATGAAGTCTCACCACCGGGCAGACAAAAAGCATCAGGAAGGGAAGAGGGGGTGAGGAACAGTGTGGGAGGAACTCAGGGAAGTCCAGACTCCTTCTCCTGCCTCATCCCCTGGAAGTTCTATCCTAGACTCCCTTCTCCTCCCCATCCCAAAGCACCTGCAGCACATTTGGGTCTTAAACCAGCAAGAACTGGGGTCATTGTTCTGCATCTGAGAGCTTCCCAAAGCTCTGGCTCCTCCCTGCTCTGCCAAAAGCCACAGTTCCCCACGGAGAAGCAAAAAAATACATTTGTTTTGTAGCCCTTTCACACATTTTGGTGCAGGTGAGGTGTCTGAGCTCACCCCACACAACCCACCCAGGAATTCCCAGTGCTGTGGGAATTCCCAGTCCCGGGCTGTGGAACAAACCCCACTGGGATTGTGTTGGAAGCTCCCTGTCAGTGTTTCCCACAGGAAGACAGCTCCAATTCCCAACCCAACAGGCCCAGGCTTAAATCTGTGCTGGGTTTTTGAAGCACTTGAAGCACAAGCTGAGTTTTAGGAGGTGAAATGCTGGGCTGGACCCAGGGGGGTGCTGAGCACATACCAGAGAAACTCCCCAGCATGGTGGCTGTGTTATCCCCTCCATCAAACACTTCCAGGGAATCCCAGTTCTGCTCAGTGACAAAACTGATCACCTGGATCTGCAGGGAAAGAAAAGGCAAAAAAAAAAATAATAAAAAATAACAGGCCAGTTCCTGCACTAATGGTAATAAATTAAATTAATCTTGGTTAAAGGGTCACTAATCAAGTTACCACACACCCTTATTTATCCTATTTAACTTGGAGACCTCCTGCCTTATCTGGGCTTACCCAGCTATTTTTTCCCTCCAACTCCAGACTCTGTGTCAGGAATGATGTTTTCTGCTGCTCCCAAAAAGAGAGAGCTCCTGCAACTGCACAGCTCATTTGCAGCTGCTGAGAATCCCAGCCTTTTTCCCCCCCTTGTTTTGAGAAATCCCTGAAGACTTTCAATCCTTTCAAACCAAAGCAACCACCAGCAACCCACGAGCTAAAAGGAAACAAAAAAACCCCCAACATTAAACAACGGGATTTTTTTTTAAAAAAAAAAATCCAATCAAGTTTCTGCCTTTGCCTCGTTTCTCTGGGCTTTTAGTAGAATCACTCGAGCTGCATTTTCAAATTTCACCTTTCCCTGCCACGGCCCATAAGGTTTGGAGGCTTTAGGAAGTCACTTGACTCCATTAGTGAGAACATCAACACGATCTTCAAACGAGCTGAGAAATCTGCATTTACACCCAAAAGCAGCTCATCCCCCTGGCAAAGAGCTCCGTGTAATGGCACAGATTTGTCTGCCACAATTACCATTAAAATGGATTTTGTCTTTATTCCTTAAATACAGGGGGTTCAAAGCATTCAGTGTCCCACTAAAAACACAAAGTAAATCAAGTTTGGTGAACTGGCTGAGAGAGTGAGGCAGCAGAGCTGAGAGGAAGCCAAAGGTCTTTGGGAGAAAACAGCTTTAATCTGTCAGCTCTTGATGAAATTTTCAAACACTGGGCGCCTCAAATCAAACTGGGAGACCAAAACCCTAAAAAAAGGCCCTTGAAGACAAATCAGGAGCAGAAATGACTTGTACAACTCAGCTGCAGACAAGGAGGATGCTGGAACTTTGGTAATTTGGGTGAGATTTCCCTCTCCTGCAGAGCCTCAGCTCTTTCAGATCTCTCTGGATGAAGAATTCCTACCAATCCCAATGGAATTCAGCTGGATCCTGGCAGCACAGAGCAGGGAGGGGAGCTCAGTGCCCTCAAACCTCAGCTCCACACACGTGGACACGACTCTGGGAACCCCCTCCCTGTTTCCCCACAGTCTTATTCCATGGTTTTTTCCATGGAAAACCCTCCTTTTTTCCCCCCCAGTCTTATTCCATCCACCCCAAACCCCCACTTGCCTCTGCCCCTCTAAACAGCAAATGCAACACACCCATTTAAAATAAAATAATAATAAAAAAAATCAAATAAAATCCCATTATTTCGGCCACTTTAACCTTTTTTTCCTCCTTGATTTCTTCTCCACAACAGAATGGGCTCTAAAGTTCCTCCAAAGGATTTTTTTTTAGCAGAAAGTAAGTGGAGTTCATCTGGTAGGAATTGCAGTGACCCCCACAGAGCCATCACTGCTCACACTGACCAAGCCAATCCCTCCCTTCCTGCCTCATTACACCCCTATTGTGATTTCCATTATTGAAAGTGGATTGAGAAGGAGCATTTTGTTTGCTCTTACATTTCCTAAATTATTTATTCTCCTCTCCCCCCCCCCCCCCCCCAACCCCCAACTTAACGGAATAAACATTTTTAAGGTCCTAATTCTAGTCTGACATGTGGATTCACAAGGGATCTGCATCTATTTACTGCCATGTATATAAATTAATTCACTCAGGAAGGTTTGCTATGGGGATGAATAATTCATGCCAGAAGTACCCTGATTACATAAAAATCCTGCAAGTGAGTCCTGCTACCAAGAAAGCTTTAATTTCACCTCCTCCCCTGATTTACAGTTGTTTAACCTTTAATTGTTGCACAAAACCAGGGTAAACTGATGCTTAAATTAGCATCTAATAAACAAAAGCAGTGACCAGGGAAGGGGGCAGGTTCTGTGGTGGGTCCAGCTCTGTGACCATCACCTTCCTCGGGTGTCTCCAGTGTCTCATCACCCTCCCAGTAAAATATTTCTTCCTAATATCTCACCTAAACTTCCCCTCTTTCAGGCTGTCCCAGGGGAAGGGGATCACACTGAAGGACCAGGGTCCTGCTCTTCACCAAAATTCTCCCACCCCAGACCTGCCAACTGGACTTCCAGCTTGGCACTGGCAGAGCACAACCACAAAACACACATTTTTTTGTTTGCCTGCAGTCTGTGTCAGACCCCAAAACATCCCCTGCAAAAAAATCCCACCCAGCAGGAAAGGGATAAAAAAATAAAACAGTGAAAAATAAAAAACCAACCTCCAAAAACCCCCCAAAAAACCAAAACCCCCAAACTCTTAAACCATTAAGCCATTCCATTTCCCAGTTTTACATGAGAGCTGTGTCTGCACAACCCAAGAGGTGAGAAAAACCAAAATCTCTTATGAATAAAGCCAGGCTTAACATCCTGCTGCAATTCCTGCTTCCCTCTGGGCTCAGCTGATGGGCAAGAACAGCTCCAAGGGGCTGGAAGGGGTTGGAAGGGGCACTGAGGGTTCACACTCCAAACATGGGGGTGCAGAACACAGACAGGTTATTTACAAAGCTTTAAAAATTAACTGAGTTATCACCTCCCCACCCCAGGAATCTTCAGCAACCTGCAAACTGCCTTGACTCTTGACAAGTTTGGCTGGGCTAAATGGATCCTCCTGTCATTTGTGGGAGGTTAAAAAATGGCTAAAATTCCAGAATTTGCTGGACTGGGCACAGCAAAAGCCTGGCAGAGGGTTCAAAACATCACCCCAGGCTGGTGCTGTTTCTCTGTGATGCCCCCAGTGCTGCTCCCCCCCCCCCAGCTCTGGCCATCCCAGAGCCAAGGTCAGGTGTGGTTCTGGGTCATGATGTGGTGGCACCAGGTAACAATTCCCAGGTTAAAAACCTCCAGCCTGGGAGAGCTGAGCTGCTGTTCCAACAAACCCTGTGCCAAGAGCTGGGAGCTGCAAACCCATCAGCAAACACAGGGCAGAGAAATAAAAGCACTTAAAGAACAAAACACCCCGTGAAGTGGTGCAAAGAGGAGGGAAGAAACCCTCAGATAAGGAGATGTGGGATGAATGGACCTGCCCAAGAATCCACCTCCCGTGTGTCACCCCGTGCCAGGCTCAGGGAGGACACCTCAGGGGGGGAGCTTTGTCTCAGCTTTGGTCTCTGATGTTTGGGTTTAATTCTCCACATCCTCCTGCTCACGGGGCCATTCCTGCAGAGGAATGATAAGGGCCCACAAAAAGGATCTGAAGAGGGAGCTCATTTACCTGGAGACAGGGAGCAGCAGGGCTGGGATTGTACAGTCACACTGCTGCACCTCTGCTGGCACAGCACAGCCACGCTCCCAAGGCTCCCAGCATCCCAGAATTACAGCACTGCAAAGAGCTACACCCAAAATATCCAAATATCCAAAATATTCCCCAGCACAGCCACACGGCCCCAGCTGGTTTCCCACACACGGTGCCTCCAGGAGGCAAAAATCCATTGGAATCGTATCCTGAGCTGGGAGGGACTCACAAGGACCATCCAGTCCAGCTCCTGGCCCTGCACTGACACCCCAACAATCCCACTCTGTCCCTCAGAGTGTCTCTCAGCTCCCTTCAGGCACTGGAAGGTCACAATCAGGTCACCCCAAAGCCTTCTCTTGTCCAGGCTGAACAATCCCAATTTTCCCAGCCTTTCCTCACAGCAACCTGTGCCCAGGTCCACCCCTTACAGCAAAGGATTTCTTCCCAATATCCCATTTAACCAGTCCTCCTCCAGCTTGAGGCTGTTAATTCCAGACTCTGCTGTCATAAATAAACCAAAGCAGAGCAACCATAAATAAACACCACCAGTTTAAAGCTCTCAGGTCTCTGAGCACCTCGTGTCTATTGAGCAGTCAGGAATCAAAGTCTGCTCCCTTTTTAGATCTACTTAAAACCCTACAGCTCCAGCAGAATTGGGAAGGGACCCCCAAGGATCATCCAGTCCAACCCCTGGCCCTGCACAGACACCCCAACAATCCCACCCTGTCCCTGAGAGAATCAACCAAACCCTCCTGGAGCTCTGGCAGCCTTGGGGCCGTGCCCAAACTCCTGGGGAGCCTGGGCAGTGCCCAACCAGCCTCTGGGGGAAGAACCTTTCCCTGAGATCCATCCTAACACAACTTCAGGCCGTTCCCTGGGTCCTGTCCCTGCTCACCCAGAGCAGAGCTCAGTCCCTGCCCACTCTGGCAGTCACAGGGTAAGTGAATATCTGATCCCAGAGAATTCCACGTTCTCTCCTGGGAGAGGCAGAGATTCACAACACGTGGCCTCTCTAAGAGCACCAGACACTGTTTCCTCCCGTTTTTGACACTGTACCTGGATCCCTGCTCCTTCAGGGACTGTGATCTTCCACACACAGTTGAGGCTGTTCAGGTAGGGCTCGGGGAACCCCGGGGACAGGATGGTTCCCTTGCGCTCCGTCAAATTCCCACCGCACGGCACTGCAAGGAGGAAATCACTGTTTGAAAGTGGAATTTGCAATTGGCTTTACACTGAAAACACCTTTCAAACACCCATCCACGGACAGAAAAGCAAGAACTGACTCATGATTAGAGGATTGTGTTTGTATAAATAACCCTTTTTCAGTAAATCTCTCCCATAACTTCTGACAGGGCAGTGCCCAGCCCTCACAGGTCAGCCAGGAGACTGATCCTTCAGGAACTGCTCTCTTCCAGAGGAGGAGAAAAGCAGCTTTCAGACACATCTGAGTCATTCCAGGTGCTGTCCCAGATCTCACAACAACTGCTGGATCAAAAGGTCCATTCCCTGGAATCTGAGGTTCAGCTGCTCTTGCTCAGAGGCAGGTTGGGCTTCTTTATGTAACAGAGAATCCCAGAATGGTTTGGGTTGGGAGGGACCTTAAAGCCCATCTCACTCCAACCCCCCACCATGGGCAGGGACACCTTCCACTAGCCCAGGTTGCTCCAAGCCCCATCCAACCTGGCCTTGGACACTTCCAGGGATGGGGCAGCCACAACTCCCTGAGCAGGCTGTCAGAGGTAGGAAAGAGGTTTTTCAAGTTCCATTAGTGGTTTGTTTTGCTGTGGATGTTGGGGGTTTGATTTTTTTCATAGAATCATGGGACACCCTGAGCTGGGAGGGACCCACAAAGTCCAACCCCCGGCCTTTCCCAGGACAACCCCGAAAATCCCACCACGGCAAAGGACGAACTGTTCTGTCTCACCTCCCCCCCGAGGTCACCTACCCACACAGGTGGGCACGGACACGTTCCACTGTGCCAGGGCCCCGGGCATGGTGAGGCACTCGATGGTGGGGGAGCCGTGCAGGGCGTAGCCAGGGCTGCACTCGAACCTCACCACGGCGCCCACGGCGAAGTCGCTGCCCAGGCGGCGGCCGTGGCGCGGCTCCGGCACGGAGCTGCACTGGGTGGCACTGGTCCTGGGCACGGCTGGGGGGGCAGCAGGGACCAGGGGGCAGGGAGAGAGAGGGATAAAACACGGTCAGAGCACGCACGTCGGAAATATTGAGCGTTGGATGAAAGATCTGTTAAAGGCGGCGCGGAAATCTGGTTGTACCCGAAGTGCGAAGGGGCTGAGCCCAAACTGAGCCCAGACTGAGCCCAGACTGAGCCCAGACTGAGCCCAAACTGAGCCCAAATTGAGCCCAAATGTGACCATTGAGGAGAGAAAGCACTGACAGCATCATGGAATATCCTGAGTGGGAAGGGAACACAAGGACCACCCAGCCCAACTCCTGGCCCTGCACAGACACCCCAACAATCCCTCCCTGTCCCTTGGAGCATTTCATCAGAACCTTTGCTCTGCTGAACTCTTTAAAGATCACACTCAGAACCACAGTTGTTTTACAATAATTAGGCAGAAATTCCAGAGAACAGATCTCTGGATACTCTGAAATCCAAACCATGTTTCACTTTGCCCCCAGGGAAGGCACAGGTCACTCTGTTGTCTGTCCCCACTTTGCAGCAAAAGCTTGGTTACAACAGACAACTCCAGAGAGCACGTGGGTGAGAAATCCCTTCTGTTTTCCCACTGTTCTGTGCATCACTGTCTATTTACTCCCATAAAATCCCTCAGTGGGGCCCTCCCAGTGCAACACAAGCTGTTACTGAGGGGATCAAGGGGCAAGAGTTTGACAGCAGGAGACCTAAGCCTGTGACACGCAGAGAGGGAGGATTTCAGAGCTGCCAGACAAGATTTCAGCTGCTTACACCCAGAAATGTGCTGAAATGCCACTGGGAGAAATTGCTGGGGGATAAATCTCCAAATTCCCCGTGTAACTCAGGGCATGACTCAGTGAGATGGTTCTGATACTAATCCTGGGACCAGCGAGGGCTGAGGCTGAGTGGGGATGAAAGGTCTGAATACAAAGTACCTACAGCAGCCAGACAGCCCTGCCAGATCACTGCTCCTGAAATAACACTAATCCCTTGGGATATTTCCTGTTCAGGACCCACAGACACCAAAAGCAGCTCCGGACACTTTGGGCCATCCCCATATTTTTGACCGTTATCTTGGGACCGACCCGAGGACTCCTCCAGAACACAACTGTACTCACCTTGGTAGACAAAATGAAAACCTTTGGCTGTGGATTGACCCTTGGAGCTAAATTTGATGAGGATCTGGTTGGTGGTAGCTAAGGGCAAGGATTCACCTGGGTGGGGAGAAAGGCAGACAGGAGATGGGGACGGCAGTGGGACACACAGAGCAGGCGCTCGGTGTCGGGCTGGGGTTTGAACCTGCTCTTCCCAGCAGCAACAGGGACGTGTTTCCTACCTGTGTGAGAGCCTGAGAGGGAGCTGAGGAGCCTGGAGTGCTGGTTGGGGCCATCATGGACCTCCACGACGTCATTGAGCGCGGTTTGGAAGAAGGCAAACTGCCCGAAGACCACTGAGGAGAGAGGGAGTGGGGGGGCATGAGCCACACTGATGTCCCTCTGCTGTCCCTCTGCTGTCCCCATTGCCACCCTCAGCACCCCTCACACACAACCAAGAGGTGTTTTCACAGGGCCATGGAATCAGGAACACCCTGAGCTTGAAGGATCACCCCAGCCCAGCTCCTGCCCTGTCATGGGACATCCCAACAACCCCATCGCTCCAAATGACACCATTTACTGTCCCAGCACACACTGAACTGTTTGGGCTCGTGTTTCAGCTGCTTTTATTCCAGGCAGAGACAAACAGGGCCTGACTGACAGCCTGGGAAGATGGGAACCCTTTATTTAGCCCCAGAGTCGGCCCAACAGAGGCAGCCCCAGCCTCCCCCGTGTTCCTGCCACGGCTCCTTCCCACTGATTCATCATCTGAGGGGGAATCTGTGACTCATCCCCTCCCTGCCTGCACCACACGGGCTTTGTAATTCCACCAAGCCATAATTATTATTTATTGTCTGTATTGAGCCTCTGTCAGGGAACTGGCTCCCCTTGGGTCAAGCATCGCACAAAACCTGGACAAAATAACAATCCCTGTCTTGAGGAGCTTGGATTTCCAGGTGGGATCTCTCTGCTCGGGGTGGATGGTTGGGAGAGAGGATATTCATGACTTTATTGACATTCAATCCTAAACCTGCTTACAGAGCCTGTTAATGAGGGTGCTCTGGTCTCACTGCATACAGTAGATGTATTTTTATTTATTTATTATTATTATTACCCTCATTATTATTATCACTGTTATTTCTATTATTATTACATGTTATGATCATCGTTATTATTACACTTTAAGGGATTTCATTCTTCCCATCACCACAGACTGACAGCTACCTCTGGATTCCCTTCTCAAATTAAGCTCTGATTGCAAACCCATCATTTAAACCACTGAGACAGAAAGCAAAACAAAATAACCACAGAACCCCTCAGAAAAAAACCCCTTCACTGAACTCTGACCCTGCTGAGGAAAGCACATGATTTTTAAAAATGATTGTTGCTGTTGTTATCACTGTTGTTGTTGTTGTTGTTGTTGTTATCATTATTATTACTATTATTATTATTATTCTCCCTGCATACAGTAAATAGCCAGGAGCAGGCAGAGCTCATACAAGGGAGAAAATCACAATAATGAAACGATCAGAGCATTTTTTTAGCTGAAGCAAAGAGACTTCAGTTATTTATCTTTATTTTTCACAGGATAACAACAGGGTGGTTTTTTTCTCCTGACAAATCTGCACTTAGAAGCTTTTTATTCCTCCCTTTGTCTCCTCTCCTGGCTTTGCCTTTTCAAGCTCTTAAGTGCAGATTCACAAGCTGAGAGGTCTCTTGCTGTGAAATCCATCATCCACCGGGCCACGACACTTGTTCCCTGCACATCCAGGCAACATTCCAGCCCAGCTCTGATGTCAGGAACACTGGAAAAGTGACAGGAGCACAGACACAGCCCCTCCCTGAGTCCTGTTACACAGAACCTGAGCAGGGCAGGGCTGGGAAATGCAGAACCTCCCCTGCTAATGGTTCTCCTGCTCGTTTTTAATGAGGATATTGAAAGGGAGCAGGTGGAGAAGAGGAACTAATTTCCCTGTCATCCCACCCTGGGATCAGACTGTCTTGGCTCCTCTTGTTCCTCTGTTTTTAAGACAACACCAAGACCAGCTCAAGTAAAAGAGATCCAAGAGCTGTAAGAGCAGTGTTGGTACTTCATCAGGAGCTCAGGTGGATCCTGGATGCACTCAGGAATTCATGGAATCCCAGGCTGGTTTGGGTTGGGAGGAACCTTAAAACTCATCTTGTTCCATGGGCAGGGACACCTCCCACTGGACCAGGCTGCTCCAACCTGGCCTTAGACACTTCCAGGGAATTTGAGTGTTTCCAACTGAGTTCTGGACACAGAATCCTTATTTCCTACTCTGCCATCCTGGCACAGGGAATCCCAAGCAGCTGGAAGGGCCCTGGGGACTGAGGGGATCAATACAATGCTCTGAGAGCAGCATCAAAGAACAGCACTTAGAGCCCCTCACCTGCCAGAGCTCTTTAAGGACTTCAAATTCCCTTCAAACAGGAAAATCAACCACTACCAACCCCCAGCCAGCTGCCCCAGGAGCTTCTAGAACATTCTTAACTCTTGTATTCAAGCTCTGACCCAAACTAAGCAGCACCAAAGTCTAGAAAAAGAATGACAGTCCTTATAAATGGATCTGGCTTTGGTTTGTACCCAATTTTAGAATTTAATTTACATGTCCCTGCCCATGGCAATGGGTTGGAATGAGAGGGTTTTTAAGGTGCCTTCCAACCCAAACCATTCCATGCTTTTTCCACATTACTTAGAAATAAAAAATGACCCTTAAGTCACACCCACAAACCCACCCACAACAAACAGCACCCAACAGCACCACTTGTTTTCCAGCCTCCCTTATCCCTGTTTCCAGATGCACTTATTTCACTGCTTTGTTCCAGTCAAATAAAGCAAGCAAGAGCTGCAGAGCAGGACAGAGTTCCAAAAACACTTGGATACAATACCATAGTCCTTGGGCACCACAATGAAGTACAAGCAGGCCTGGCCAGTGGTGTAGTTTTGGGGGTAATTCGGAGACAGGACGACGCCGTCGGAGCCCGTGTACTGACCCCCACAGGGAGCTGCAAGGGACAGGCAACAAGGGGTCATTCCCAGAGCCTGCAACACCAGCTGCTCCCAACGTGCTGGGCCCTGTCAGTGCCCCCATCCTGCTCCAGGTGATCCCTGTGAGTTCCCGTTAAGGAAAACCAGGCCCTGAAATCATCCCGGCTTCACATTTCATTATCCAACCGTGCTGGGTGTGCTGCAGGATAATGTGGGATAACTGCTCCCCACCTGCCTCACAGCTCAGGGCCTGGCAGGATGAGCCCCTGCTTTTTTTCACCCTCCCTTTCCAAAATCAGGGATTTCCTTCTTCCCCCTCAGCACAGACTGACAACTACTTCTGGATTCCCTTCTCGGATTAAGCTCTGACTGCAAACCCATCATTTAAACCATTAAGTCAGAAAACAAAACAGAAGAACCACAGAACCCTTAAGAAAATAACATATCTTGTTTTCTCCCTAAACTCTGACCCTGCTCAGGAAAGGGTTTTGATTAGCAAGGCTCAGGTTTAGCAAATGTTTAAGTGGCTTCCTGAGTCCTGCCCTGCACCAGGGGCACAGGATCTCCGTGGCCAGTTCCCTCTCTCTCCAAAGAAGGTTCAAGAAACCTCTAATAAACTCATATAAATCAGCTCTCCCTGATTTTAACACCGGGGGGGGGGTGGTGTTAAAAAGCCTGAAAAAATTACAAAAGGCTGAGAATCCCCCTCTCTCTGCAAAAAGCAACATCAGGTTGGCGACTGCGACAATGAAAGGTTTGGCAGCGGGCAGGTCGTTCCCTCTCCCTGGAATTACCTGTGCAGGTGGGGCGGGGTTTGTTCCAGGTGGGTTTTCCATCCCCTCCCATGATGCAGGTGAGGGTGGAGACCCCCTGGATGTCGTACCCCCCGTCACAGTAGTAGGTGATGGTGGATCCCAGCTTGAGGTCCGAGCCCACGCGGGTGCCGTTCCTGATGGAGCCCGGGTCGAAGCACGACTCCCGGGGGTTTTCTGGGGGAGACAATTCCCAAGAGCTTCACTGGTCTCCTAAAATCACCCTAAAACTTTGGTCAGTTACGTTTTGGGGGTTTTTTTGGCTTTTTTGATCTGCTGAAGCACATCATGAAGGGCAAGAGCATGTGCAGAGCTCAGGGCTCAGCTCCCTCGTGCTGGTCCAGACCTTCCTGGGATGTCCAGAACCAGCACTGGAAGGAGGAAGGTGCCAGTTCACCCACATATTTACAGGTACCCAACATCCAATCAACGAGGCAAAGTCTTGATTTCCCAGAATCCCTGAGGTTGGAAAAGCCCTCCCAGCCCATGGAGTTCAACCTGTGACCCATCCCCACCTTGTCCCCCAGCCCAGAGCACTGAGTGCCACATCCAGTCATTCCTTGGACACCTCCAGGGGTGGGGACTCCAAACCTCCCTGGGCAGCCCCTTCCAAGGCCTGACCACCCTTTCCAGCAAGAAATTCCTCCTGATGTCCAACCTGAGCCTCCCCTGGCACAGCTGGAGGCCGTTCCCTCTCCTCCTGTCCCTTGTTCCCTGGGAGCAGAGCCTGACCCCTCCCCAGCTCCCCCCTCCTGTCAGGGGGTTGCAGAGCCAGAAGGTCCCCCCTGAGCCTCCTTTTCTCCAGGCTGAGCCCCCCCAGCTCCCTCAGCTGCTCCTGCTGCTCCAGCCCCTTCCCAACTCCCTCAGCATCTCCACTGAACTCTCCCCACTCCCTCTCCTTGCACAGGAACAGGCTGGGAGGAACTTTGCAAACCAGGACACACAAACCCAGAGTGAACATGGAGCGTATTTCAGATGTGCCACATCTGTTCCCATCATCTCCTGGCACCCCACACTCCTGGATCCAAGAGCTGTCTCTGCTCTCACCGTGGAAATTCAGTGCCATGTGTGAGCTGGGTGACTCTCCAGATGTGCAGCACGGCTGCAATTATGGCAAAATGATTACAAGCACTTAAACAAAATGAAGACATTTTTCTCCCTGTTCACTCTGCCCTGCAGAGTTAAAAACTCCATTTACATATGAAAATTCCAGTAAAGACCACGGAGCTGTCAGGTCTTGGATACTTCTTTCCCTCTTCTTCTAAAGTTGTTTTTTTTTTTCCCCTTTTTTTCTTTTTTTTTTCCCTTTTTCTCCCCTGCCTGAAATATAATTAGGGGCTTTGATTAATCCTGCTCTTTTGTCATTTGGAAATTGCTCATTAAAGCTGAGGGCCTTCCTGAGAGCAGTGGCTCTGTGAACAATTAGAATGTGTTTAAGCATTAAATCATGGCCTTTTAGTATTTGGGGAAGGTGTGGAGGGAGAAACAGAGAGCAGCAAAGCCCCCAGACCTCGCTTTTGTTTTTCTGCTTGCAGTGAAAAATGGGAGCAGCTCCAAGGATTCCTTCACCACTGGGGATCCAGGTGAACAGGGAACAAAGGGATGTGAAATGTTTCCACCAGGAACAGCAGCCACTGGTTTTCCCTACACCACCAACCTGGCTTGGAATGTTCCTTTTCCATAAGGACACAGAGTTGATTTTCAAACAGCATCACTCAGTTCTGACTGTTTTCAAACAGTGCTGGGTGTTGTTAAACAGCCTGCCTTGCAAGGAATTTTACAGCACAGGGTTCCTGTGGGGAGTTTCCACCTTAAATAACCCATAAATAATGCTGAGTGGATGTTTATAAGCTCAGGATGGGCAAAACAGTTCTGGCAAAATAATCACGAATTTCAAATTGGGCTCGGGGATGGTTTGTTTTCTTTTTTCCATTCCTTTGGAAGGGTGAAAAGTAATCAGCTTTGCTTCATTTCCTTTCCATTTCATGCCTCTTCACTTCTGGCCCGTAAGAGAAAGAGGAGTTACTAAAAAGAGTGAGGAAAGTCTCCCACTTTGGAGCTCCCAGCCTGGAAACTCCTTCCTGTGCCTGTCACCCAAACCTCCACGTGCTCCTGGGGTCACCCCTCACCTCTCCAGCACGAGAGGCCAAGCCCAGTTCCACAGGACACCTGGAGCCACTTTCCCCACGCTCCAAACCAGTCTCTGCAGCCCAGAGCAGGCTGGAGGAATCCTTTCCAGCTCTGTTTCCATCCCCCAGTTTTTGCTCCATCTCCCTGCTCTGACTCACCAGATCCCGCTTTTGCAGAGCAGATTTTTACTCCAGCTCGTAACAACTCCCTTCTTCCACCTACTCCAGGCACAAACAAGGGGTGCACCTGCCAAAGCTGCCTTCTTCTTCCCCCTCTCCCCACCAGCAGTGCCAGGTCTGTCACTTCCCAGCTCATTCCAGAGCTAAAAACACCCGGGGATCTCTCCAACCACGACAGCTGAGGCCACCACACTGTTTTACTGCCTCCCTCCTTCCTCTACCTCCTTTGAGGAGCTGGAGCATTTCCAGAGCTGGAAATGGAGCTGGGGAAGGGGTTGGAGCACCAGGAGCACAAGGAGCTGGGTGGGCTCAGCCTGGAGAAGAGGACGCTCAAGGGGGACCTCATGCTGGAGGAGCTTTAAGATCCCTCCCAGCCCAAACCACTCTGTCATTCTGTGAAGTGGCATCTTCTGCTCACCAGAGACAGAGTTTGATTTCAGTGTGGAGCAAGAAATATTATACAGAATACAGCCTGGACAGTAAAGGAATGTTTTCTGGGAATCTCCCTTGATTTTCTTGAAAGAAAAAAAAGTAAAGACTTTCTTCTCTGTTCACCGAAGTCCCACAAAAAAGCAGCCACTTGTGACAAATCCCACAGCCCTTTTCTGCTGCTGTCTTAGCTGTGTGCATGTTATCTATGCACCCTGGCTCTTTCTCCAGCCTCCAGAATTCCCCATTTTCCCTACATGCCTCTTAAATGTGTTTTGGTGGTGGCAGAACCTCGGGATGACTCCCGGAGAGGAGAGAGGCTCCCACGGCGCCTCGAGCCTCTCCCGCTCGGTCCAGCTTTGCTTTAACCTGGTCAGAGCACAGGGAAGGTGCCAGTGTTTGCTGAGTGAGTCAGGCCAGGCGTGTCCAGGTGTGCCCAGGTGTGTCCACGTGTGCCCAGGTGCCCCCCCTCACCTGTGTACTCGATGACAAAGCCGGTGTTGCTGACGGAGGCGTCGCTCCGGAACGCCAGGAACAGGCTGTTGCTGCTGCTCTCGATCCTCTCGGGGAGCTGGGAGCCATAAAAGCTCCCAATCAGGGGGCTCAGGGAGTCAGGGCCATCATAGATGTGAAGGAAGTCATAGCCAGGCTCCAGGCTGAAGCTGCAAAACCAAAGGAGTGCTTGGAGCAGGAGAACTCCTGATGTACAGGACATTCCTGACTCCACCCCACAGGTGCATGTGCTGCACCACAGTTAAATCTAAATAAGCCCTCTCAGCAAGGTATTTCACAATTAAAACTACCCAATATGCTTCCTCCCATAGGTTTTTTTTTTTGGTGACTAGAACAATATTTGGTAGAATTACATTCTGTTAAAACAGCTGATCTGAGGGGATGCTTCTGGCACATAAACACTGTGCATGTCAAAGAGGAGCTGCAGCTCAGATATGATGTTAATCTGATGTTCCCAGATTAATGCTTGGGAACAAGTTGCCCAGGATATGAGACCATCCCACCAGGTTTGGTTTGGCTCCTTCACAGAGGGACTTGCAGCCCTTGGTGCCCCCTCCCCGTGCCCAGGGACAGCCCCAGGGGGGAACCACGCCCTTGGGTACTCACATGTTGAACACCAGGGCAATGACATAGTCTGGAGACACCGTGAGCTTCCAGTCACACTCCTTGCCAGGGGGGTAGGGCTCAGGGTACTGGGGGGACAGGATCACCCCTGAGGGGCCCGTCAGGATCCCTCCACAGGGAGCTGCAAACACAAAGGACAGGCAAAGGGGGCAGGGTTTGTACCACAGACACTGAAAAACCAGCAGGTGAGGTGCAGGGAAGGCAAAGCAGGGAGCTGTGGACAGGTGAGGTGTCAGGGAGGCAGCTGACACTGAGATATCCTGGAATATCCTGAGCTGGAAGGGACCCACGGGAGTGTTGGAGTGCCAGTCCTGTGTTACAGGAGGTTGTGGTGGCTCTCCCAGAGGTCATTCCAGAGGAGGGACACACACACACAGAGAGCCAGGGACGCCACCACAACCCTCCTGAGATCTGTAAGTGAGCAACCAGAGGGACAGAGAGTTATTTTATGCTTTTCTGTTGCATTCCTTTAGGCAGCTCCCAGCCCCAGTCTGTTGCTAACCAAGTGCAAACATGTTGTCTGGGCCTAATGGCTCATTCATGTTTATTCCAGTTACCAGCACATTAAATGCCAAGCTGATTGAAAAATCAATTATTACTTTTTTAAGGCTGGAAGTGCCTGCTTGTGTTTCCAGCGTGGCAAACAGGAGTGATTTTCTGCCGTCAGCCTTTCTGCAGCCTCCTCAGGAGGGTCGATGCTCTGAGATTCCCTCAGTGCTCAGATCAATCCTCCCAGATTTGGGATGGGGGAGAGGGAGGGGAGGACAGTCTGTGTTAAACTCGGGGCTCTGACACCAGCCTAAGGCAACAAAGGGGTGGGAAATGAGCTGGGATGGGGCAAAAGTGATGGAACAAATCTGGGAGGGATGTTCCATGAAGGAGTGAACACATGTGGGCTTTGATATTTTTCTGGTTTTATCCTGTGGGCTTTCCTAAAGCTTGTAAATACACAAGAACTTCCAGACATCAGGTAAAACACAGTGGGGCTGGTCTAAAAAGGTCACAGTGGAGATTAAACCAGAGACTTTCCCCCAAGGCCCCCCAAGTCCAGCCACAGGAGGGCTGTTATCCCTCTGGGATAGACAAGGAAATCACAGCACAGACACGAAAGAATTTGGTTGAAGGTCACCCACAAACACCTTGGAAGAACCACAAGCACCTATTCTGTGTCCATTCACCTTCATCTTAACCCCAAGGGTGCTCTCCCCTTCCACTCAGGGGAAAATCCAGAAGAAACCAAAGTGTGAGGACTCGTGTTTGAAAAGCCCGAGGGAGACAAGTGTTCAACACCCCCTGATTCCTTTGAAAATCCCACCCCCTGGTCTCCAAAGGATTTAAAGCAGTGAATGATCCCAGCCACTGCTGTTTGGAGCTGGCCAGGATACAAACTTCAAATGGCCCAAAGCTCCTGGGGCTGTCTCAGTCGAGGTTCCTGCTCAGCCCACGAAGTCGTGCAAAGATGTGAAAATCCATTTGAAATGCTAAATATGTAAAATCCAAGCTTTCAATTTAACACCCTTTCCCAGCTCAAGCTCCAACCAGGCAGCCTGTCCCCCCCAGTTCCTGTGAAACTGGTATTTGGCCACTGATTGTTCCTCCAAACCCTTTGTCCCTGGAGAAGGGAAGGAGCAGGACGTTGTTTGCAGCTTCTTCACGGAGTTTATGACTCCAGGTCAAACAGGAGGTGACCTGTGGGAACTCATCTCACTCCAAGATAAAGGCACTGGCTGCTTTTCTCTGCAAAGGACTCAGAGTTCAGCTCCTGGTGGGAAAACTCCACAGGAAAATGAAGAGCTGGGCACGACATCCAACACCATGATTTAGTTACAGCCCTGGGAAGATTAAAAGAACTGTCTCTGGGAGGCTGAGAAGGTGCCACACTCAATCCAGAGTCATTCAGAACCCAAGTCCTCCTGCAGCACAGACCCTGGGCATGAAGTGTGATGTCAGAAAGTGAATTAATTGGTTTTCTTGCTTGGGGTAACAGTGCCCAAGCAGCAATGAAGGTTACAGGTAAAGTCATTTGTGGTTGGCATTTAATTGGCCAGCAAATTTGGTGTTTATTGCTCTAGAGTGCTTGGCATGACTGGGTTTGGATGTATTAAAAAGAATCCCTTTCAGGAGCTTCTTTTATTCCTTTATGAGCTCAAAGAAAATGTCAGAAAGCCCTTTCTCATGGCAGAGTTTGCTGTCTCCTCATGCAGAAATGATTCACCCACAGCCCCAATCCTGAGTTTTAAAGGAGCCTCTAATTTTGCCTTGTCAGGTTAAATATCATCCCTTCCACTGCACCGTGTCCTGGGAGCTCCCAGCATCAACTAGATCCTCATTGTCCCAGACACTTCAGGGATCAACCCAAAAAAGTTCTGTGGGACAGGTACACCTGGAAATGCACCTCTTGGAACCAGGTGGTACCTCCAGGCCCAGGAGTCTGGGAATGGGAAGGGGCAGGGAGGTCGGTGGGGGGGGTGGCTGCATGTCCTTACCTGTGCAGGAGGGAGGGTCTGGCTGCCAGAAAAACCTGTTCTCCACCTGCACACAGGTGATTTGGGCCTCCCCTTGCAGGGCATAGCCCGGGTTGCACTGGAAGGTGATGGAATCTCCTGCCTCCTTGCTGTCCCCGCTCCGGCTCCCGTTCTGGGGAATTCCCGGGTCGTTGCAGGACGTGGCAGTGGAAACTGAGGAGTAAATCAATATATATTATACATCTTTATCTGCTGCAAGGCTTAGAGCACATAAATATATCTCTATTTATTTCCTACAGCAGCTGGACCCAGTCTCTGCCCTCACACAGACACCCAAGCCATTACTTGTCCTCCATCCCTCCTCCTCCTCCTCCACTATCCCACAGAGTTTCCCCACACGCAAAAACTGGCTTTTCCTTTGCTCTGAGCATCTGCTACTGCAGCTGGAAAAGGCTCTGGGGAGCAGCAAGTTCTGCACTGCACAGAGGGCAGGTTTGCTGTTCACTCAGTGATCCACACACCCACTGATCTCCCGTGGCAGCTTTGCAGGATTCTGTGTCAGGCACGGGCTGCAAAATCAACTCATCCACCAGCACTTCTCACTTCCCCTGAGTGGTGAGGAAATGCAGCCTCAAAACCTGTGAAGCATCAAGCCTGACCTTTCAGAAAGGCACGTGCTTCCCTCCCAGACTTGCTGCTGCATCTCTTTGAGGTCTGGGATGTCCCCCCTGGGCTCCTCCCCAGCTGGGGACAGGCAGCACAACTTCACTGCTCCCTGAGCTCAGCACCTCAGCTGCTGCCCAGCAGGGCAAAGTCCTGGAGTAAAGAAGTTTTGCAAGCTTAGATACCTCATTAAAGTTCATAAGATCCCAAAAACTGTTCACTCCTGGGCTTAAGGCTGGCTACTTAGTCACACCTGGTGAACAAAGGCTTTGAGCAGGAGCAGTCAATAAAGCCCAGCTCCAGATCAGGCAGCAGAGCAGAGCTTATTTCCTGCTAAGTTGATGAGAGTCCATTACACCCAGGCAGTTGAGAAAGCTGCTCTTAAAAGAGCCAGAGGAAATCCCCTCTCTTTCTGTGCAGCTGAAGATAAGCAAGTTCACAGCCCAGGCTGGTCCTGCCCAGCAGGACGAGACACAAGCCTGGCAAAATAAAAAAGGGGATGGCCCAGCTGTGCTGGGTGACACAGAGCTCTCCCTCTGTCTTGATCATCCCAGAAGGCCTAAAATCCAGGAGAAATTCTCCCCAAATTGCTGCCTGGCTCCCCCAGCCACGCAAGGCAGGCTGGACACAAAGCTATGGAGAAGAACTTGGGAGAGGCAGGACAATGCTTGGATGTGTCTGAGTGCCAGGAAGGTCAGACCATCAGTCACCAAACCCACCTCCCTGCTTAATACCAGCTCCAAAATCAGCACCTGCAGGTTGGTTACTGGACAAGGTGCCTCGTGGAACCCCCTGTGAAGGCTGGAATGTGTCACCCCGATATAATTGGAATTAATGTGTTTGCAGGGCTGAGCTCAGGTAGAACCAGACTGCAGCTCCCCCCCAGCCAACAGAGCTGTTTGTGACCTGCCTCTCATCTCAGGGGAGCCAATTTGGGGGCTTTTAACCAGAGTTGGCTTTCAGAGCCCACTGACCAGCAGCTCTCAGAGCAGCGGGGGGAGCTGCCAGAGCTCTGGGGCAACGTGGTGGAAAAGAGCTGTAATTCCTTCTTGTGTCTTCCCCCCCTGCCAAGTCAGCACTGTGGAGGTGACTGGAGCAGGGGAGAGCACAGCATCACCTGCCAGGACAAAATACTGCAGTTTGAACTCTATTTGCAGAGTCTGCACTCCACTGGCAGAGCTGGAGGACACACAGTGCCTGTCACTGCTCACTGCAATGTCACCCCCCAGCACGACTCTGGGGGGACCTGAAAGCTCTGCTCAGCAAAGCTGGGTCTGGATGTGCTGAGGGAGTCACAGAATCCCAGAATAGGCTGAGCTGGGAGGGACCCACAAGGAACCTCCAGTCCAACCCTCAGCCTGCACAGGCCCATTTCTCCTCCTGCCAGCCCAGAGCTTCACTCCCTGCCAGTGCTGATCAGCCAAGGTGCAGAGGCTGGGTGGCTCAGACACGGGGATTTCCAGCCCTCCACACCCTCCCTCTGTACCAGGGGGGGCTTCTCCAGCTCAGAGCCCCTCAGGTGCCCCCTCACAGGGTAAAAGGGCTGGAGGATGATCACAGAAGCACAGAATTGGAAGGGACCCACAAGGATCTTGGAGTCCAACCCTCAGCCCTGCACAGGACCATCCCCAAGAGTCACCCCCTGTGCCCCAGAGGATCAGCCAAACCCTCCCGGAGCTCTGGCAGCCTTGGGGCTGTGCCCACTGCCCTGGGGAGCCTGGGCAGTGCCCAACCACCCTCTGGGGGAAGAACCTTTGGCTGAGATCCAACCTGAGCCTGCCCTGACACAGCTCCAGCCATTCCCTGGCTGCTGTCCCTGGTCCCCCCAGAGCAGAGCTCAGTCCCTGCCCCTCCTCTGCCCCTGCCCAGGAAGCTGGAACTGCACTGAGGTCTCCCCTCAGTCTCCTCTGCTCCAGCTGAACACACCAAATGCCCTCAGTGTCCTCCCATGGCTCCAAACGCAGGTCCTTCCCCACCCTTCCCCACCCTGGCTGCCCACCTGAGAACTGGATGGCAAAGCCCTGCTTGCTGGTGAAGAAGTCGGTGTTGAACTGGAGGATGAGGGAGTTGAAGGTGCTGTGCACGTCCCCGGGGAGCCCTGAGCCACTGAGCTCCCTCAGCAGGATCCCCTTCTCCACTGGCCCGTCCCAGATCCGCAGCACGTCATGGAACTCCTCGGTGTGGAAAACCATGAAATGGAGCCTGGGGGGGGGCAAAACCAACCACGAGTCAGACCACAGACAGCTCTGGAAGGATCAGGAATGTGCTGGGTACCAACCTGAGGTGGTTTGGCCCACAGGGAATGTGTTCCCTCATCTACAGCTCAGTTTGGAATAACTGCGTCGGTCCTTCACCCGACCCCAATTCCTCCCTGATAAATCACATCCATGAACCAAAACCAGCCCAGTCAGGAACAGCAATGTCTTCTGAGAAACCAAGTTCTGAGAAACCTTCCTTCTGAGAAACCTGAGCAGTCCTGGAAGTGGGTCCTCTCCTGAGCAAACAGAATCACTGATCTTTCCTAAAAGCATTTTCAGGAACAAGGTAAAGGCCCAAAAGCCCGTTGTGGGCAGTGAAAATGTTCCTGGCCAGAACAGACTGTTGGTTTTACAACCAAAGGGGCTCAGACATTACAATGAGCAGCTGCCACACACGAAAGGCTGAGGGAGCAACCAGCTAAAGGCTGGAATCACAGAATCATGGAATCTCCTGAGCTGGAAGAGACCCACAAGGATCATCCAAGTCCAAATCCTGGCTCTGCAGACACCCCAACAATCCCACCCTGTCACTGGGAGCCTTGTCCAAGCACTCCTTGATTTCTGGCAGGTTTGGGGCCATGATCACCTCGCTGGGGATGCAGGTGATGGATCAGGGATCAGTCCCTTCCACTCCTGCATTTCAAATGCCAAGTGAAGAGGAGGCATTGAATTGCCCCTGTTTGTGACTGTCCTGTTATCACAGGGGGAAAAACCCTCTGACACAACAAAACCAGGCAACTTGAGCCACCCCAGTGTGAAACGGGGACAGAAACCTATAAAGGGAGAAAATCTGTACAAAATAAACCCAGCAGGTACTGTGCTTAAAACCCTGACAACCCATGGAGGGAAACAAGGAAGAATTCACTTGGCTGCTTTCCCATTTATCCGGGGCAAACATAAATAAATCAGGTAGAACCATAAAAAGGGGAGGGGGGGGTAAAAAGCCCCCACTGCAACAAAATGATGCCCACAGAACCTGGGAGAAGCCTGAAGAGCTGACTCATAAATCCACCCAGCAGAGACCTTGAGCAAAGAGAAAGGCAAAGGCAGACTGGAGGGAAAATCAGGATGGATGGTGCAGAGCTGTTCTCCACGGCTGCCTCGGCCTGGTGACGTTTGTGCTCAGGCAGAGAGGGCCCAGAGAGCCAGAACTGCCAGAAAAACCCAGGGCTGGAGTCACTGGAGCCAGGGAGATGCTGCTAGGGGGTGACCTGGGCTGGGGGGACAGCCTGGAGATGCCACCAGCAGCTCCCCGTGGGGCCAGGGCTGCCTGAAGAATCTCACCCCCTTTGTTCAGTTTGGAAGAACCAACTTTAGGCAAAGTTCTGTTGGGAGGAGAGCACAGCAGGATGTCCAGGTGAGCCAGGGACAGGTTACTCAGCACCAGTTGGTCCAGGAGACTGTTGGAATACCAGATTTTATGGAGAAAACTGGTGTTCTCTGGAGCAAATCCATCTATTCAACAGCCACTTGTGAGTTTTCTCTCAGCCTGACTCTGTTCCCAGCAGGGACAAGGCAGAGACACTGGTTTAGCAGGCAGTGGAGAGGAGGAGAGCTTTATCCCTGTGCTCTGACAATCCCAATTACATGCATGAAAATGCAGCAAAAAGCAAATCAGAAATTGGGAACATATATCCATATATATTTATGTGATGGAGGGAAAGCTCTGCCAGCTCAGCAAGGAACAGAGAGGGGAGCCCTGAATAACCCCTGGGGAGCCCTTTTAGCCCCAGCTCTTCCCAAAGCACCCCCAACCCCACTGCCCAACCTGGGGGGGCTTTCTGCTGCCATCCCCCATCCCAGCAAAGGGCTGGGATCCCACCTGGAGCTTCTCAGGAGCATCCTGGCATCCTCCTCCTTCCCTCCCTTCCTTCTCCCCCCCTCCTCAAAGTCTCCCAGACAAACCCAGTCCCTTCCCCTGTGATGTTTATGCACGAGGGTGTTTGCACAGGCACAAAATTAATCCCCTCTCCGAGTGCAACCCTTTAACTTTCATGGCAATAAAGTGCAGACTCATTTTTCTCTCTGTCTCGCCTCCCTCTCCCCTTCCCCTCGTGCTGTGTGCAGATACAGCTTTATTCAAAAAGCTCTGGTGATTAATTTTCATGTAAGTTATAAATGAGAGCTTTATACAATTGTACCATGCGTGAAGAGGATTATTTTTCCAATGGATTACCATAAAAATGAAGTTGCTGAAAATGTGCTCTCTCGACTCCCCAGAGATCATCTGTTCTGTCTGAGCTGGCAAATGAAAGGGGCAGGAGAAGGGAGCTCTCACCTCTAAGGAAAGCAAGGGGCACCAGGTGTGTTGCTGTGATACCACTCAGCATTTTTCACTTCAGCCTTGGCCCCTTCCAAGCCTTTGGCTGATCCAAAATCTCTCCTCTGCTCCCTGATTTCAGGGATGACATGAGCTAAGCCTGAGGCAGCCATTGGATGGGGGGAAAGGAGGGTCTCGTGTCTGCTTTGTCCTATAAAAATCTTCAGAATCTTTTTACAGGAGAATAAAAACAAAGGAGATTTCAACTGGAAGTTGCCTGTGCAGCAATTCAGCTGCATTGGCTGCTCACCCCAGAAACCATCCATTACTGAGCCATTCCAAAGGGCAGAGCTAATGGAGGGAATTTCTGCATTAAATAAAAATGAAAATACTGGACCAAATCTATCTCCAGCAGAAACCCATCGACTAAAAGCACCACAGAGCTCAACCTGATTAACAGGCTCCACTGAAGGGAGGATGGGGGTGATGCAGCAAGGAAGACAAAATGGGAGATAAAATGGGATTGAGAGTGAAGGAATGCAGGGTGGAACAGCCCCTGAAATGGGGCTGACACAGGTCACAAGCACCAGGAACTGCAGTGGGAGGACAGTGGGAGGATTATTGTGAAACAGAACTTTTAGGCTTCATTTCTCTCTCCCTTGAGCCCCACCACTTGGTAAAAGCTTTACTTGCCCAAACATTCCAGTTTTCTGTCTCAAATGGCTTTAGCTGGGCTGAAATATGTGGGCACACACAGAGCAGGGCTGGGAAACATCCATGTGGGGAAGCAGCAGGATCAGAGATGAAGGATCACGGAGCAGGAACTGCCTGGGTTCTGCTGGGGACTGCACCAACCTCACCAGCCAAATGTTCTCAATGCCATCCTTACCCAGAGTCACATAACTCATGAACAAATTCCATTTCCAACTCATTTCCAACAGGGAAGTGGCAACAGGGTGGTAAGAGAAGTCAGAGGAGCAGGAGGAGGGAACAGTCTCTGGTCTCTGCACAGAGCAGATGTTTAGAAACAACCTCAAGTCATCCTTCAGGAGGATAATGACTTGGTGTGTGCTCTCTGTGTTATTAAAACAATCAACAATGCAGGGAGGAGATGAAGGCTGAGCCCTGGGGCCTCAGTTTTGCAGCTGCCCACCCACCCCTGGGCACCCTCACACCTGAACATTCCCTCTCACAGACACAGCAGGACAGAGCTCATCCCCTGCAGGGTTTGATCTCTGCACGGGAGATGAACCACACCCAGAATTACCCTCCCTGAACCTCTCCTGGGATGTGATATTCCCTGCAACTTCCTGCACACATCCTCACTTCAGGATCGTGTCACTGCTGGGACATTCCACACCAATGTGGTGGGAAAGGTTTGACTCTCAGTACATCCCATGAGGAGAGGGGTGGGAAGCTCTCCCACTGTAGGTGCACACAGGAGCTCTGGGGTGTTGTTTGGACCTGGTAACCCCACAGGCAGCAGCAGCACACGAGCTGTGGCACCACCCAGGACACCACAGCTGGGGAAAGAAAGGAACAGTGAAGGCACTCAGGGCCTCTGAGCAACCTGGGCTGGTGGAAGGTGTCCCTGTCTGGAACTGGGAAAAGAAAGGAGCAGTGATGCCACTTGGGCCTCTGAGCAACCTGGGCTGGTGGAAGGTGTCCCTGTCTGGAACTGGATGATTTTTAAGGTCCCTTCCAACCCAAACCATCCCTGACTCTGCCCAGCCTGGCAGGAGCTGCGCCAGGGCTCGACCCTTCCCTCCGAGCCACGGGATGTTCTCCTGACTTGCTTTATGGAACTGTGGCTCTGGAAAAATCAGCTGGATGTGCCAAGAGAGCCGAGCCCCACTCACCCTATGGTGCAACCAGGCTCTGCCTCGATGGTCCAGATGCAGTTGAGGTTGTGGTCGTAGGGGGTCGGGTAACCCGGGGACAGGATCCGCCCCGAGGCCTCTCCTCTGATGGTCCCTCCACACTCAGCTGGAACAGACACAGGGGTCAGGGGGCAGATTCAGGGTAACAACACAAATCTCAGCCTACAAATACAACTGGGAGTATTTCCTGCCCTTCCCAGGGATTCTTAAAGCCTCCAGAGCAAAGATAAAGGGAATTTAATTCAGCGAAAAGACTGAGTTGGCAGAATAATTCTGCATTTCTGTGCAGACCTGATGGGCTGTCAAAGCTTCCCTCCACCTTTCTGACTGTGGGGAGCATCCTGCTCCCCCAGTCTATTCATATGGGGTGAGACAGCTCAAGTCTTCTGCTTGTGTTCATCAGTGTGGGAAAACAAAGAAGCCCAACATGTGTCTGTGTAAATGAAATCCAAAAGAATGTGAGGATTTTGAGTAATTTCTGTAACGTAGCCATTAAAATTCTTTAACTTTTAGTTCTTTAAGCTTTCTTAAGAAACTCAGACATGGCCTCATACACAGTAAATGCAGAGCAAACAGGGTGAGTGTTAAGAAGGCACACAAATCACAGAAATTTGTCTTTTTACCTCAATAATCAAGGCTAAAATTCAGCAAAGAGTTACTGCAGGAGTGGTCCTGACTCAGGGGAGGACAGAGTGGCACTGTCTGGCACATCACAACCACAGGGGCAGTTGTGGAGTTGCTTGGAGAGAGTGCAAGAACCTCCCCATGTCCTGGACACACAGCTAATGATGGAGCTGTCAAGTCCCAGACCAACAGCCCTTCATTTGGACACCCAAAAATACCACAATTTACCAAGCAAGAAGATCTCAGGTAAAAGGGAACTCAGGGTTTGGCTTAGGAAGGATGAGGGGGGGGAATTAAAATGTCTGAGAGTGGGATCAGATGCCAAGCAGCTCTCAAACAGGCCTGACTCTGAGCTGGCAGATGCCTGGACACATGATGATGTCTGGCATTATCAGAAGGTGCCACTCAAGTTTAACGTGTCCAAGTGAAAGGACAAGGAGTGGAAAAAAACCAAAACAAAACAAAAAAGGAATGTTTCATGTTAAAACTGCTTGGAGTGCTCTCAGCCTGAAGATGCCTCACACAGGATCCTCTAATTAAGGCATTAATATCAGAGTTAATGTCATATGTGTTAGCAAAGCAGGGACAAAGGGCCCTGGTGGGTATTGAGGTGATGCTCAGTTTGAAAAGCCAGAGGTGTCTCACCTACACAGGTTGGCAGGGGCTGGTCCCACGCTCTCCTCTCCCCAGTCAGGCAGCCCAGGACCCTGCTGCCCCTCAGGGTGTACCCGGGGTCACAGCTGAAGGACACGGAGCTGCCAGCAAAGTGCCCCTCGTCGTGCACCTTGTACCCAAACTGGGGCACTCCGGGGTCCTCGCACTTGATGAGCTCAAAACCTGCAGGGAGAGGAAGGGCAGCTGTTTGTCTGCATCTCCCAGTCAGGAGATGTTAACACAGCCCCAAAGGCAGCATATTGAAAATCAGTGGTTTTTTTAATTAATGTTTGAGTGAGGCCCCAGAAATCTGGCGGCTCGGCTTTAAATCTGAATTTCTGTATGGCCACAGAAAAGGTTCCATCATCTCCCAGGGAACAAGGGACAGGAGGAGAGGGAATGGCCTCAAGCTGTGCAAGGTTCAGGTTGGACATTAGAAGGAATTTTCTCATGGAAAGGTTGGTCAGGCATTGGAAGGGGCTGCCCAGGGAGGTTTGGAGTCCCCACCCCTGGAGGTGTCCAAGGAATGACTGGACATGGCACTCAGTGCTCTGGGCTGGGGGACAAGGTGGGGATGGGGCACAGGGTGGATCCAGGGGCTGGGAGGGCTTTTCCAACCTCAGTGATCCTGGGATTCTGTGATCTCCCACACTCCAATTCCTCTTAGGGTATAAGATCTTTATGGAAACGGCTCTTTGCCCTGGTCATGCAACTGTGGCACAGAAACACCCCTTCACCCCACCACACCAGCATGTGGGCTTAAAACTCACTGGAAAACTGCAGCTCAAAGCCTTTGCTGGTGTTGGCAGAGTTGGTGATGAACTCCAGCCACATGGAGCTGGAGGTGCTGTTGATGCTGGTGCCCAGCATGTCCGAGCGGCTGAAGGTGCCCAGCAGCCGGGCAGAGCTGTTGGTGCCATCATAGACCTGGGAGGGACCAGAAACACGGACTCAAAACCTGGTTTTAATCCCTGCTTCAGGGACCAAAGCAGCACTGCCCAGAGAATGTGGCTGCCCCATCCCTGGAAGTGTCCAAGGCCAGGTTGGAGCAGCCTGGGATGGTGGAAGGTGTCCCTGCCCAGGGCAGGGGGTGGAAAAAGTTGTTTTTAAGGTCCTTTCCAACCCAAACCAACCCATGATCCACAAATGCAAACAGGGACAAAGCCTTTAAAGTGAAATAAGAGTCTGTCCTGATGGGACTCCACGGTGCTGCTCAGCTGAGGAGCAGGATTTCCACCCTGGAGGATCCACCTCCTCCTCCTCACACGGAGCTCGCTCCACGCTCAGGGCTGAGTGTCTCCTGAATTCATCTCTCTTTGCAAAGAATCAGCCCCTGAGAAAAAAACATTTTCTCCCCAGACTGACTCACAGATGAGCCTTGAACCTGCTATTAGTTAAGAAAAAGCCCAAATGGGGTTTTTCCTTTCTTTCAGACAGCAGGATTCTCCGTGAGGACAAAGAGCAGCTCCTCGCTCGTGGAGATCGATGGGAACTTTCCCGGGAAGCAGATGAGAAGTTGATGACAAACCTGGCGAGGGAACATAATTCCTTTGACAACGAGTATATTCTCTGCATTAACTGGAAATCTTTCTCTCTTTCCAGTCATCTGTGAGCTGAAAATATGTGGATTACAGCTCTCTTGGAGTGCAGGAATATGGCACTTCAGTAAGGACAGAGGCGTTCCTGGAAGATGGCTCAGCATCAGTGATATTAATGCCTCCTTCAAACCCATTGCTTTGTGCTTAATAGAAACTCAGCCTGGATTTGTCTCCTCCTCCATAGAGTCCTGAAGCTTGTAAATGCAGATTAATCTGATTATGGCAACGCTGAAGAGTCTGGAGCTCTGCATTTAAATAACCCCCTTTTCAGGACGAATCAGCTTTGATTCTTAAAAGTACTAAAATAAAGATAAAAACCCCCAGCTTCCCCATGTGTTACCAGTTTTTCCTGTGCAATTATGCAGGGAGGAACTGAAGTTTAGAGGGACCCTGGGGATTTTGCTGCTGTCTTCTAGAGTGCTGTGGCAATCACTTCATGTCACAGCAGTGACTGCTTGTCAGCAGTCCTGCTATGAGTCTGTCCCAGGGATCATCACCCTGCCTGGGCCTGGGTGGCATTTTCCAGGTCAGTCCCACCTAATTCCATTAAATAGAACATCCCTTCCCTTTCAGAGCTTGCTCTCAGGGGCAGCTTCACTGAATTACCTTGAGGACATCTCCTGCCTCCAGCTCAAACGTCCTGGCTTTCAGCTGGATCCCCTTCCCTGGCTGGGTCTGGATGGAGTAGATGCACTCGTGGTTGTTGTTGTAGTTGAGTGGGTAGTTGGGGGACAGCAGCACACCCTGGGTTCCAGTGACAGAGGAGCCACATTCAGCTGCACCAAGACACAAAAGCACATTTTAATAACCACAGGGACCTTCTGGCCATGCCACACATGCACGTGATTCCTCCAAAGGCCACAGTTCCTCACTCCTTCCTGCACTCAGGAAGAAGGAAAGAGGCTTTTCCCTGCTATTGTTCCCTACAACCTGCAGTCTGTCCCTGCTCCATCACATTTTCCTGGTCAGACTTCTCCCCTCCTCCTCCACTCTGAGCACTGTGAACAGCATCTGACTTGGAGCCAAATTTGAAGTTAGAAGGTTTGTGGGACTCGAAACTGGGCATCTCAAAATGATGCCATTTAGAGAAGGAAGAGGTGGCAGCTTCGGAGGCTCAAACCTGTCCTGGATGTCAGGAGACGACAATTTAATGCTGCTGGAAAATAACCACCCCTCACCTCTGTATTTCATGTTTTAATTACAAGCTTTGAGGACACAATCTCTGCCTCACAACCTCCCCACGGGGAACCTGTGCTGCCTCTGCTGGTCCCCCAAGGAAGGGTTAAAGCAGCAGCAGCAGATACACCCAGAGGAGGCACTTTGGAGGTGACTTTCTCCTCCTCTCTTGCCGTGCACAAAAAGCAGGGCCCTCACTTTGGCACAGATTCCCCAGGGATGGTGCCGGACACATCAGCACCCGGGATCTGCTGGAAGCAGCAGCTGGTGTGGAGAGTTCCTGCCCTGGACAGTGGGGCTGGACAAAGGAACAAAACACCCTCAGTTCTCTCCTCACCATCTCTAGAACAGGAACTCAATACAGAGTGTCTGGAAAAGCAATTAAATCTCCTGTGATCTTAACGAGCAAGTCTCCAGTTTCCATCTCCACCCGGGGCGAGTGCAGAGATCTGAGCTGGGGCTGCTGTGACACGAGCTGGGGATGCTGTGACAGGGCTGTCACCCTGCCCACAGCTCTGGGCCATCACCACTGAGCCCAACCTGTCACCACAAACCCTTCTGAGCCAGCTGCAGCTGGGAAATGGCAGCCACTGTGTCCACGCAGGGCTGAGCTCTGAGGATCGGCTTGAAAAGCTTTGTAAATGATTCTGTTTGATTCCCGTTCCCCTGATTAGCTTTATCTGCAGCCTGGTTATTATTCATGCCCTGAAGAGCTGCCTGGCACAGCAGGATGATGCAGCCCTGTGACCTCAGCATTCCGCAGTGCCGGGAAACGGGAAACGCATTCGGCACCGCGGGACCGAGAGGAGAGACCAGGCTGGCTCTGGAGGGGATGTCTGCTCTGCAAGGGCCCTCAAAGGTCACCCACAGATCAGGACAATGGCCCTGGCAGGCTCTGCCAGGCTGCAAACAGGTGAGACACCTGCCCTGCCTGCTCTGGATAAATCCCTCCTGGCTCCGGGCAGCAGCAGAGCTCTGAACAACCTCCTACTCAAACCTTACAACAAAAAACGTGTTCCATCTTTTTGCCAAGGCCTGGAGCATCCTCCTGCCTTTCTGCAATAGAAGTTGGACTTCTATTCCTTTACCAGGTGCCGTGGGCTGGGCAGGGGGTGCTCCCCAGCCCTGCCAGGGAAGGGTCTCTGCACCCCATCTGCCCCGGGGAGGACAGCCAGGAGCCAGCTCGGTGCTGCAGAGGAATCCTCCCTCTCCTCCAGCATCATATTTATTTATTTGTTCTGTAACTAACAGCTGGAGGGGTTAAAAAAGGACTTGCAGGGCTGAAAGCTCATCCCAGTTCATCCCAGCTCCCCATCCCTGCATCGACCCCCCCACAAGCGGAGCGACCACATCCCGGGAGACATCACCCATCCCAGGGGATGCCACCCATCCCAAGGGACATCCCCCATCCTGAGGGTCACCCCCCCATCCCTGCCCACCTACAACCAGCCAGCACAGCGGGACCAACCAAGCAAAATGAAAGCACATGACCACCTACCAACACACCTTGGCAGAGGCGAACTCCACACCCGCCGCCTCCCCCCGAGGCAGGTGATCCGGGAGGCTCCTTCCAGCCGGTACCCCGGGAAGCAGGAGAAGGTGAGCACGTCCCCCACCCCGAACTGCAGCCCCTTCCTGATGCTGTAGGCTGGCACCTCTGGCTCGTCACAGGGCTCCAGGTCGTACTCTGCAAGGGGACAGACAGTTATGGGGCGGCGGGTGATGCCTCACGTTCCACCCTCACCCCGAGGATGAGGAGGGAGCTCCAAGTGTTGGTTCCAGCTGCAGGGAAGTTCTGATTCCAGAGCTTTGTGAACCTCAGGATCCATGAGGATGGATGACCTGTTTGAGCCATGAAGACCCACCTGGATCTCACTCTCCACATTCAACCCCCCCAGGGGCGTCACCTCGATTCAACCCCCCCAAAAACACCCCAGGTTCCATTCCCTGTCCCTGTGTGGAGAGAGATTCCAGCTACAACTCCAGCCACGACTGCTGCATGGAAGAAGAGAGACACTGCTGCTCTGAAAGTGGAAAGGATCTTTCCTTCTTCCCTTCTGGACTTTTATTGGAGGGAAAAGAGATTTGATCCAATGTCAGTATTGCTTTACCACAGGAGAGATAGTTAAGATTGTGTATATAATGTATTATAATATTTATTTGTGTAATAATTGTAGTATAATTCCCTTCCCCCCATATTGAGTCTTATGTTGTGTCTGGAAAAACCCCTCTCACACTGGGGTGAGTTGTGGGAGGGGGGCTTGGACTGGGAAATTGGATTTTTGGGGGTCTCAAACCACCACACCCTGGGCATCACCAGCCCCTCGATTCAACCCCCCCCCCCCCCGAAAACACAACAAGTTCCATTCCCTGTCCCTGCTGTCACACAACCAGCCAGGTGACACCAGGGGTGACAAAGCACGATGGAGATTTGTCATTCTCCCTCTGCTTCAGCCAGACAGAGATGGATTGATCCCGGTGGGATTCCTGCTGCCTCTCCATTACTAATCCTGGAAATGAATGGATGCAGCATCTTGTTTGGGGAGTGCAGGAGAAAACACTTGAGCTGCTGCTGAAAGAAAGGTCACGTAGGATCTCGGCTGAGAGCCAGAAGCAGGTCTTTGACCACAAAACACGTCAGAGCAAACCTCTCTGGAGGGTTGTTTTTCTGAAAAAATAACAGACCTGCAAAGTATAAAGTCTGCACATAAATATATATATATATATATATATATATATATATATATATATATATATA